AGGAATTCACCGATTTCCTATGTCGATACCGTTGATGTGAGAAGCTGGTGTGTGGATTGATACGGCCCTGAATTACACGTTTCCTACATGCAAGTAAGACAGACGAGGCGTAACGCGGGCAAGAAAGAGGAGAGAAGCCGCACGAACTGGCAAAGAGATGGCAAGAGGAAAGAGACGATAAGGAGAAAAAGAGAAAGAAGTTTGCAAAAGAGAGAGATCGAAAGAAATCCCGTCGAGTAGGACAGGGTAATCCGCGGAACAGGTAGAAGCGAGACAAAACGAAGAAAGACAAGAGAACGAACGGAAGCAAAAACAAAAACAAAAAAAAAAAAGAGAAAAGATCGCGATTGTAGCCTGTACAGTGTTTAATATGTGTAACTTAGACATGCGATGTGTGAGCCCAAAGAGGAAGTACTTTTTTTTTTTAAAAAGAACGATGTGCAGCGAGAGAGTCGCGATAAGCGCGGGACGAAGGATGAAACTGAGCATCAGCCACAGGCAATCCGGTCGAGAAAATTGGCAATGTATGCCGTGAGCTTACATAACCACAAGCTGGATACAAAGAAACAAAGAGAGGGAAAGAGACAGAAAAGATGAGAAGCGCGAGAAGAGACTCGAGAAAAAGAATACAGAAAGTAGAGAGAAAAGAGAAAGACAATAAGACAGAGAAAGAGAGATTGCAGTTGGCGTTACACTTGCAACACAAAGAAAAAGAGGAAACAGTGACACACGCACTCACACCAGAGTACATTCCGACATGCGCGAATGCGTACGCGGTGAAAAACGATGAGTTCGAGGCTTCGCGACTCGGTTTTTCCTTGACATTAGCAGCTGCGATATGTACGTAACGGAAGATATATATACACACGCATAAGTGTGCAGCATTTATCTTATCTAGAATATAACCAATCGCTCGCCCAGTTTCATCGAGCTGCGACGCGCCGCGATGTCGCGCGCGCGCGAGTACAATGTTAGCCGTGTGTTGGTGTACGCGAGCTGCATACGCGCGAATTACGCAAGATCATTCAATTAGATTGTTCCAACGGAATGTTTGATTAAAATGCACTTTTGTAATGCACGCGCACGCACATACGCACATCACAAATACATTAACGTGTGTTGCAAGTGTATTCAAATTTATCTTAGACGCAAGTGATGAGGACGTTTGCACAAAGTGCAAGGACGATATTAAAGTTTTTTTTAAACAGCATTTCCCAAGCTGCAGCGTATATTTATATATATAAGGTTACAATATTGTTTCGCGTTTTCTTTTCTCGCTGCATCTTTTCACAGATCCAAAGATTGACTTTCCTGTTTTTTTTCTGTTTTTTCTCGATGCATTTCTGCAAACATACGCAACGCCTGCTAATAATAGGCATTTAATACGCGCAGTTTGTGCGCGTTATGTGTACGTTATGTATCGTTCGCGCGCATCATGATAAATAATTTTCAGATAACATTCTCCGTATCCGCTATGTCTGTCACAATTACCGCAATTAACTTTTTTTTTCTCGGCGTACATTTAACGACGGTTTCTTTAAAATACAAACACGAGCAAATTCTTGATAAAATAAAAAGTAATAGATATATCTATACTTTTCAACGAGTCACACGTTTCTTGCAAAGTGACGAAAACAACATTTGGTTATTTTGGCAATCTGCGACTCGTGCATTTGCTCGTCCAAGTTTCGGAAATCAAAGTCGACTCGAAAGTCGACTTGGTACGAAAAAGGAGAGAAAAAACGAGTCGTAATGGTAAACTCCCTTTACACGCAGAAGACATAACAGCAGGCAAGCCGATTTATATGCGCTCCTTAGCTCGCGCGTGCACGCACTTAACGATATGTAAAACCACCAAGACCGGGTATTGTACGACGTCAGTGCTCTGTCGTAAAACCGGCCGTTCAAATCGTCTCAACGTGAAAGACTTTTGAATAATATTAAAAGTTTTGCATCACGCATGACCGTTTACTTTTAATACATATGAGAGAAGAACGGATTGCTGTGTCGTTTCAGGGTGCTAAATCTTTTTCGCTTTTATTTCTCCTTGTTTATTCATTCTGTCGTGATACCTCCCGGCACGCTTATTAAGTGCAACGTTTCTCATCGAAGCGCTTAAATAAAACATTTTGCCGCTCTCAAAATGTATTACATGTAAAAATATTTAGTCTTTTACAACGGTCTTAAGATTGACGTACAATGTTCAACGACTGTATTTGTTATTCTACAGGCGCGTGTAAAAAACAGCTGTCAATATGAAAATATTATTTTATTTGACATTTGTTTTTGTAACGCATGTTTGTAACTGTGTATCTGTCTCTCTGTCTCTCTCTCTCTTTTTCTCCCGAGGAAAGTCTATAATTTGCTACAAGTAAACCTGGCTGCTAGAGACAGCAATTTTTTTGGTACAAATAATAATATGAATCAAGTTAACGGTCGAAACAACTTGCAGTAATTGTATATTATTTTAGTAATCTAAAACGTTAAAATGATGGAATTTTTTAGTAAATTGTACGTGGACGTTTGGATACTCGATATATGTATTGTACGTAGGTTTGCGCGCGGCAGATAGCTTCATGCTGGATAATAATATTGCGCGCGTAACAAAATCGGTAAGTTTTATAGCATTGTGAAAGCAGTGCTTTGCAATCTGATTGTTTATAAACTGCAGAGATATCGAAATTAAAGAACAAATGAAGAATGAGATTTATTTAAATATAACGTTTTGCCCTAAATTTTGATGTAAATGCTGGGTAACAGATGATTGATAAGCCAAATGCGCAGAAATTACTCACCCACGGGAATTATATCGCGCGCGCAACAAAATCGGCAAGTTTTAAATACTGGGAAACAGATGATTGATGAGCCAAATGCACAGAAATTACTCACCTGTGCCTGCCAACAACAATTGCTTTATATTTGGCGTCACTTCGCTACGCGACGGATGGAGATGGCGTCACGTAATTCTAAGGCGACCGGAAGTTATGGCGATTAAATAAGTTGGACGCGAATGAACATGCAGCTGCGAATCCTATTTTTGAGCACGTTTGATCCGATAATATCCTGTTCCGATAATATCCTGTACTATTCATTACGACGTTGAAGCTACTATCTGCGAAGCTACGTCGCGTGTAAAGTTCACTTACATTGTGTCGTATCATCGGTTTCTAAACCTGACTTGTTTCTCAATAGCTTCCTAAATTTGCGTTATAAATCGACCGCGCGGGAGACTTTCGCGCTCTAAGGCTTAAACACGGTATCTTGCACGTCCCATCACATTATCGATGTTTGAGAGCGCCGACATGTACATTGAAAATATGCGAGATTGCGAACATTTATCACGAAGGAAAGGAGGTAATTTACGATGCAAATTGTGTGGTCGATGTTACATGTATCTCTCTCAAATACGTAATGAATAAATCATTCCGTAACTCATGAATCATGTCCGAAAGGTTGCACACAATTTGCGAAATTTAAACGATTTAAAAAAAATAATATGTTATCTCCACACGTCTGCGCGAACGTTTTTTGGAAAGTTTTTCACTTGAGACTCGGTCCTTGTTGGTGAGAGTGAACATACATGTAGAAACCTGAGAGTATGTAATAAATTTTTCGAGAATACCGATCTCCGTGGACGAATCGCGTTGTTAATGAATGCGGCAGATACCGAAAGATAAACGACATCGAACCAATAATGTTTCGGACGTAGGCGGTACATAACATCGATATTGCCGCTAAGAAAATTGTTACCTTAAGCGTGACTGCCGCACGTATCCACTACAAACCCATCACTCAAGATGGTTGTCGAACTTGATAAGCAAAAATGTATTTTAATGTATCTCACATAATATATTATTGGCGTAATTTGAGCACTTTTTATATTTTATATGTAACTCTTTATTGTAAAAAAGCACATGTAAAATATAGAAAAGCGTTCTGTCTTCTCAGAAAACAAAGGGACAGAGATGTGTAATTACATTATGCCTTAGGTTTTTCAAGCTCAAAAAGCATTAAATATGAAGGATTTTGAATTGAATAGAGTTGCAGCACAGAAAGAGAGAGAGGTGGGTATTTACGATTGCTACGTCCAAAGGTTACGAGGTGTAAACTTTAATATGTGCGATTATCTTTGCCAAGAGGCATGATAGTCAACAGAATCACTCATGTAGCATTAAACGCGCGCTTTGAAATATCAGGATGTAATACGAAAGACGTGTCAGGTGTCTTTCTGAGAGAGAACAGTCTGAAATACGCGAGCTGAAATAAGTATGCAGACGCGCAGCGTCTAAAGTTATGACATGTGATAGATACGTTATAAATCAGCCCGTATCGACGAGGATACTTTTCCGCAATCAAGCAACGTCACGGATAACATGACTAAACCGGTAATTATTGCCTCTAGTGAGAGCAATGTCGCTCCGCAAATTGAAACTGTCGCGTAATTCTTTTTCTCAATGTATAATGAATTCTGTGTCCTAGCGTATAAATTACCGTCATTTTCGAGCAATCCTAGTAATTGCCGTTGAATAAAATTATTAACTTAATAATGAAGAAGAATAAGATTCTTCGGGGCTCGGAAGTCTTTAAACTAATGAATGAATTAAAATTATTAATCTTTATTAAATAATTCAACATGTCATTTACGCGTAGATCACGGACAATTTATATCCGAAATAAATTTTCTGAAATTAAAAAATTACAACCATTTATAAGATAATTTTATAATTTCCAGGAATATGTACATTTATAAAAGAATTTCTTGTAAATCTTAGCCGGTTTTGAATATATTAATCGCTAGATATAAGTTTGTTTAAAAACTTATTGGTATATTAATATACAAATTTTGCTGGTACCATCTTGAAACGCGATTATTCGTAAAATATTACGATCAATATCGCTTGAAACATGCATTTCCATTGAGATGTGGTAATTGAAATTATTTTAACTTTATCAGCAGGTGAAATGACAAACGTAAAATTACTTTTTTCTTTTCTGTACAGCTTGTCAAAACATCATCGATGTCATTCAGAAACTTTTAAGTGAAGAATTTCAGCAGCAACAGCATCGGTTGCAACATCAACAGCAGTTGCAACCACAACAACATCCATTGCAACAGCAGCAGCAGCAATTGCAGCAACATCCATTGCCACCGCCATCGTTGCAGCACCAGCAACTACAATACAGTAGTCAATGGTACAGTTTTTTGCTAGATCCGAGATTTTTAAGAAGTGTTCCAGCAACGTACAATTACACATACTTGAAGAAAGAAACACCGCCGGAAGAATTCAACGTTTTGCTTAATCAAGTAAGAAGTTCCGTGCCGTACAAGTCGCTTGAATTCTCCTCGAAGTATCATTGGTGAGTACACCGTGTTATTTCTCACCCTAATGTCAGAAATTTAAATTTTATAATTCTTAAATTTTTTTAATTTGATAAATAATTATGAATTATACTTTAATCATACGTGTGCGATGTTGTTTGAGACAATTACACGCAACGCGACTGACGAAACCGAGAATTGTACAAATATCGCATACACGTAGAAAAAGAAATTACATGTTTGATTTACAACATAAATTGCGATCTTGTTTGTTGCTTTTCTTTTGTTTGAAATCGTTGAGAGACGAGAAGTCGTAATCACGAGAATCCGTCGCACATAAAATAGATTCCAAGCTGTAAAATATTCTCCTCTTCTCCGATCCAGGCAGACAGCACTGTTAAGACCAGTAAACGGCTGTTCATCCTTTCCGATTCCTCCCATTTCGTTACTGTTTTCTTCTCCCTTCGGAGAAAAAAGTTTTCTCTCCTTATTACTTCTTTGCCTTTTATTTCTTTTGGTAAACTTTCTGACAACCTGTAACACATGTAATTATCTAATAATCAAAAGAGACAAGTTTTTTATTCGCAGCTAGAAAGGCTATGTTAAATCGTATTGAGTCTCCGTACTAAGAATTCTTCATTAGTACCAAATTTGCGGTTAACTCGATCAAAGCGGCCGCGGGAGTATAAAGATACGACGACTCTCCTGCCTCTCTTTATGGTTTTAACGATGACAACACTATAAAGAGTCGAATTTACGAGTGCTCTGCAATATTCTATCTTTAGGTGGCTATCGTCCTCGTCAGACGATTTAGTGGAAATAACCTTGCTCTTCGTGAGAATGCAAGACCTTCGATGCCGGCTATCGAGAATTACGCGCTACTTTAGGGATAAGCTGACCGCGATCATTTACATTTAATTCGTTCTTATACGTTTGCTGATGTACCGTTGATGAGATTGCAACGAATCTCAATTATATTCTGAATCTTTTTTTATTTAAGACTTTACAATAGTTCAATGTGTGTGTGTGCATGTGTGTGTACGTGTGTATGTGTGTATATATGTTTTTATTGTACTTTTCATTGTTGTATGTTAGAAAGAAAAAGAAGGTAAAGTCTCGTATATAATAACATATCGTACATAATAGCATAGCGTGTCGCCTTTGTAATGTGGTTTCCGCAAACCCCACAATACATCTCTATCGTGACATATTAAAATGCAGTCATCGTGTTTCTCACACATGTACGTAAACGTCTCAATATAAAGTGACAAGTATTCCAAAATGAATATTATCATCGAACAAGTAGAGGACTAGGATGCATTTAGAATTCGGTGTTTAAACTTTAAACGCAACGAAACAGATCAATTGCAATTTTATCATGAGAATTATTATCTGTTGATGTATGAGAACATCGACTCCTTCTCTTGACATTCGGGGAAGTTCATATTTATCGGATAAAAGTACGACAGATGATATACAGTCGGAATTGATGATGCATCACAACATCTCGCGGCGCGGTAGTGGTTTTAAAAACGACATAAAAATTGCATGTCTCGCAAAATGATGCGCGCGGCAATACTCGAGATATGAAAATGGAAACGATAATTAAAACGTCGGCGATGATTGTCGGCTATCTTGGATACTGATTGCCTCGAGCCGGTGATTAAAGTTGCTAAAAGTGAGTCGATCCTTTACCCCGACTCTTTCTCCACTCTCTCTTTGCATTGATCCCTCCGAACAAGCTTAGCGAGCAATGGAATTCAGCGGGTGGTCACGCACTTTTTTCACGGTTTTTTTCTTCACCAATGTAAACAATAAAAGCGACTCTGGGAGGCTCACGAATAATGCTTCTGTTCGGCCGCCATATGTTTCCGGAGTGTTACTCGACATTGTCATTTCGCATTCCGCCAACGGTCACGAAGTTGTAATTTTCGGTGTTTCTCATCACGCACCCTTTTTTCTCCAAAAGAATATGCGTGTCACGATGTAATCTCTCTTCATCATTTTTTTTATATTGCAAAATGTTCTCAGCGAAATATTTTCGGATGTTGCATGTGTTAAAATATCATATATTATTTCTCTTTTTTTTTTCTTTCCCGACACTCAGAAAAATTGGTTGCCTTTAATATGCATGTATGAGAGAAAAAGAGAAAGAGAGAGAGAGTATTTATTGTAATGGTTCAAAATAAGTTGCATGGACGTTCGACGAATCGTCAAAAAGATTAAGCTGGTTGCCTTTGCAGTAAGCAACATCAATGTAATCGAACAGGTCGCTGAGAGCGGTTTTAACGACGGTCATAAACGCGGTTCGCTTTACAGCTCGGTAAATTTTTTTCTTCTCCACGCTGCCTCTCCTCTTACCTTGTCATCATCGTCGCTGCCTTCTTGTTCTCCTTCTGCGTCGGTTGTCGGCCGACACCAGTGAGGCGTACCCCAGAGTCTCTCCCGCTTATTTTACTCCGACCGCAATAAACTACCAGATTTTATGTGACAGACGTTAGCGAAGTCGAAATAATCTTGTACCTCACGGAATGTCGATAATCTCGCTAGAAATAAGCAAATCTATTTTTGAGTTGGCTTTATTCTACGGATGAGGAGGCATAATTTTCGAGACAAAGCAGTAATTAGCATTGCCAAAGTGCGTGAGCGGCATTTCTCCTTCTTCTTCTTCTTTTTCTTCATCATTTTCTTCTTCTTTTTCTTCTCACTTTCTTCTTCATCGTTCTCTTCGTATGCAACCAAGAACCGGTGTTAAGCAGTGTAACTGACTCGGCTTCACTCGGCAAAAGGAATTTTACTACTTTCTAACCACACAGTCGCGGCCTACAATTAAACCCCCATAAACTTTGTCGTAACTTTTTTAAAAGCGACCGACCGCGACCGAGCTCCGTTGCTCCTTTGGCAAAAAGCCATATTGCATTCGTAATGAAGCTCTGGCATAGGTACCGACGTCTTCCGGTCAATCCTAAAACCTTTTCGCCGAATAGATCGTGTCGCCCAACCAATAGAAACCTCACCAAAGAGAGAGTATTTTTTTTTTTTTTTATTTTCAGTACTTTAGTAGTTATGTACGGCGCCGAAGATGCGAGCTCGTGAATTTTGAAATGTTTACCGCGCGCTCACACTACGCCGGTAATAACCGGTTACTCGTTTTTTTTTTATCACGGAAAACTCCTTTTTCTTCTCGCCACCGTTAATCGAGGAAGCTGGATTGCATGCAAGATATTCACCGTATTCCAAAGTGGAATCGATATTCCACTTTGAGTCCAGCGTGAGATGTAGAAAGATATAAGAAAGATACGAAATGTAAGCAGTATGATAATTCGTGCCGTGTAATTTGCCGTTCTCGGCAAAGTCTCATTTCTTGGAGTAGTGCAAAAGAGAAAGAGAGAAGACGTCTTTTCGTGTAGATTCTTCTTGTAGGCCGTCTCGTCGACGTCCTTGCCGACTCGAGTGACGTCCTTCAGCGGCTAGGGGAATCATCGGACAAGTTTACATGATGCTCGCCGAAGACGACGTCGACTGCTCGCAGGCAAGAGAAGAGCGAAAAGAGTCAGGGAAAAGAAGAAGAAGAAGAAGACGACGACAGCCCGAGAGGAAAGGTTGAGGAAGGAACCTAGCACACAAGCCCGGCATGCGAGGTTTCAGCGGCGACTGACGTTTACGGCTTCGAGCGGTCGACCTAGCGTTAGTAAAACTTGAGAAGAAATACAAGCGAAGTCCACATCGACAGTTAAAGTCATACGCGCGAAAATACAACCTTACTTCTATAAAATACGGTACACCTACCTTCGGCCAAGCGAAGTTACCAGGTTCCACACTCAAGAAACACGCTAATGAATGTGGCTACACTTCTTATCAACTTGTTTGCAATCGATAAACAAAGTTTTTTACGCAACCGATTGGGTAATACCTGTTGGTAACGCTTGACATACCGGTTATTGCTATCAATCTTATATCTTGTATACAACAGTGATTATAATTTTTTAAACACATAATGTTGTATAATGCATATATTATCGTTGCGACATTTTTCGAAGAGAAGTAAGAAATTATTTATAAAAGAGTGTAAAACACTGTAAGAGAGACAAGATCTACATGTGTTGATCTACATTTAATTAGATATTATTTCAAATATCTGCAGTGATTTTGTAGTCCTTCTCTTTTCCTACTCACACCCCTGTTAGAGGTGGCAACGCGAGGTGGAAGCGTAAGGATCTTCACGAGACACTTATTCAGGCAGACGATAAACCTCTACCCACCACATCCGCGACCGTCTCCACTTTAGCTACGTACCCGGATCCGTCTCTTCCTTCCTATATACTTCGTTTACGACTTTTCGAGTTCGTCGCTGTTCGTCTTGAAATCTGCCTAGATCATCCCGCTCAGAAAAGGATTCTGGCGAGAAAAGAACACTGTGGTACGGGCGGGTTTTCTTCACGAAGCAGAAGTTCGCGAGAGAGACGGTGTCCATAAAAAAAAAAGAATATGAGCGAAACAAACTTCATTTACGTCAGACAGAAGGGCGGCTCTGTATCTTGTTCCCGTTCTAAAATTCGTCGAAATGACGTTCGAGTCACGCAAGGTGATCAGGACTCAAATAGCGGAGATCATGTGAAATCGTGGCGGCATATAGCTGTATAAATCATGTTTTTACGAGACACCCATGGTCATTTGGGAGAAAAAGAAGATTCTCTCTCTGGGGAGAAGAAAGAAAATATAAAACCCCGATGTGCGCGACACTCGGACACTCGCCGCAGCTTTTTTTCTCGTCATTATTATCTTTATTATTCTCATCATTATTATTCTCAACAATGTGGCAAAACTGGTTACTTCGAGAGTAAATCTCAGTTTCTATTGGAACGCACATTCTGTATCTAACATAACTTACATAGAACTTTATCGCTTCTAAACGCGACTGCGCGAAGGAGAGAGATATGCGCGTTTGATACGCTTGTTTTCCGGGAAACGGCAATGACGCATTTTATTACGCGCGATATTACAGGTTTTGAGATAATAACACAATGAGCCGCGTAAATGCACAATCGGTGCTACGTGAATGTATAATCGATACATTATTATACATCGACGTATAATAATCGATACGTTAGAAGTAAGTGCAGAACACCGCGACAAAGAAACGCGTTTCAGCTGCGTCACGCTTCTTCGTAGAATCGCATAGAAAAAGCGACACATATTGCGATGTACGTACGGCACACGTAATTGCAATAAATTCATGCCTCATACGAGGTGAAACTATTGGCTCCCGCGCCATTGCAGTTGGTGATCGGCCGTCGCACATTCTCGCATCCACTTAACGCGAGTAGATCTTACGCTGCTCGTAACGCGCCGTTATAGATACGTGTACTCAACAAAGTGACCGGTACTTCGGCGAACCTGTCGCTCGTAAAAAAAAGACTGTGGCACAGCCGGTTAGAACTTCGTGAAAACGAGACGTATCGCACACCGGCGCGATAAGCAGATCCTGAGAGCTTGAGAGAGACGAAGAATGTCTTCGCGTATTGCAAAGCGAACAAGAAGGGGAAGGGTCTATCATCTCGCGTCCGCATCAAAGTAATTGTCGATCGTTGGAGGGATCATTTTACGCGAAAGTGAAAATAATACTTCGTCAGCCGGTTAAACGCGTGTAATGATCGACTACCGACAAGCGCGTGATGATATAAAGAGTTATTATTTTTTTTTCTCACTTTAATCATTAAAATAATGTTCTTGTTGTCGCAATCTTAAAGATATTCGTCAGCATCTTGTCGATGAAGCCAAGTGCTCTCCGCGACAACGATGTGTCGCTTTTTTTTTTACCGAATTCTTTACATTCATTCATTGTACATTCTTCAGATCAAGATCAGCGTTTATTGAGGTGTGGACAACACGGTCGCAGAATCAACAAACAAAAAAAAAAAAAAAAAAGATTAAAACGCTCTCCAAGAAGGAAACATCTCACGACAGATTCTTTTCAAAGTTCTCCGTGAATTGGATCTTTATCGCAGCTGCGTTTTGTGCGACGTGTGATGTCCGTAGGGATGTTTTACGACACGACCGGGTTTTAATGCCAGCACGATGTTTTGCTCTTTAGAGTCGTTCTTTGTTTACAAGTTCTGCTTTGATTTCATCTTTCAGATAAAATCTCAGTCGCTATATATTATCTATATATATAAATATGTAAATATATATATATATATATATATATAATTTTTTTAATTTGTTAACTACGTGACTGTGATTTGTTAACCACAATGAGCGAGTTTAAAATCGTTGATCTGGAAAAGTGACACCGTATCGACAATGATTTCAGATCATTTTGATCAGACGACCAAAAGTGTCCGGTGAAAGAATCAATGCGTCTAGACTTTCAAAAAAATCCGTCACAGTTTTCCGCTGCGGTGGGCAGAAAACCGGGTCTAGCACCGGTGAGTGCACGTATGAAAACTAAGTCCGGAGGTTTCATTCGACTGGCTTTACGAGAGAGACATAAAATGGACTTTACTGGCTAGTTCGCCAGTTCTCGAGTTGGTAACATTGCTTTAGCGAACATAATATACCTTACTTTTTCCCACTTCGTCTCTGCTCATCTCTTTCTCCCGTCTCTTGCCGACTCATCCTCACCGTCTCCTTATTCACTCCTTTCTCTGTTACCGTCTTTTACGCGACGGATTTTGTTTACGACCGAGGAAGTAGATCGCTTGCTTCTCTTTCTCTTTTGTGTGTTTCGCGTCCTGACGCGTCTTTAAACCACATTGCAGTAAATTTTTTCCGCTGTTCTGTTTATTTAAAAAAAAAAAAAAAAAAAAAAAACGTCTTGAGTGAGAAATGCGTGTTCCGTTCTCGGCCTGATGTAATATCTGCCGGATAAACCGACATAACTAGTAGTTAACTTCTTTTCGGTTTCTTTTATCATTCCGGCAGTGGTTTCCGACGTTCGGTAAATCTTTTTTCTTTCACTTTAGTTCCTATATTAAACGACTGGACATGAGCACACGTTCTTCACGGCTTTAATAAAGACCGTGATTTATTGTGAAATGCATTTCGTATCAAATATCTGGTATAGTGGACGGACGTCATTTTTATATCACAAAAGTACACACGCGGAAGAGAGTCAAGATACGACTCATATGTTAACGCGATAACAAAATAAGTTAGTGCGTGATAAAGTCATTCTTTGTATTTCCCGTCAATGGTCCATTATCCTATTAATTAAGAAGAGAAATAAATTTGCCGTTATCGCAGCGAGGGATATGTAGGTAAGCGATGTTTCCCCGATGAGGCCGGCAAAACACACACCGAACTCTTACGAATGCAATCGGAGTTGTGTTTCTGCATCGCATGACGGACTGCTCGGCAAACACGCATTTACATCGATAAAGTCGCTATTAGTGGGCAATAAAACAACGCGATTTACTCGGCGTCATTGCGAATCACACGCGGCACAGACAAGTCTGTGCGTTATTTATTTTTCTTTGGTGACACTTTAATCGCAGCCGCGCGACAGATAGCAATTATAAAGTGCATGTTTTTCTATATCGCAGATATAGAAAAACCGATCCAGATAATAATTAAGAGCTAATTGAAGTATTTTCATATATTTGTAGACCGGAATTGTATTTTGAAAATAATAACGCTCTTTGAAAAAATAAAAAGATGCGATAATTACGCATAATTATTGTGTTACGTATTTATCATTTTCCTCAATTTTGCTTTCAGATCGATTGATGACGATCAGTGAAATAAATCGACAAGAAAAACATGTCGAATCCAAAGAAACGCGCTTCTGAAGTGATTGGATAGCCATCGAGACAAGAAAAGACCTGATAATTGATCATAGCATGCTTCTTCTGGACGCTTTCAATGTTCCTACCTACCCAATGAACCGAGCAAATCTTACGGCAAATGAGAAATTGTCTCTTAGAAACTCGCGAGAAAGGAAATCGCCATGTCAATTTCGAGGTAAATTCTCAGAACTTTCCGTCCGTCGCTCTTGGTTCTCGATCAAATTGTTGCTGTGGTTACGGTCTTTTATTAAAAAAACAAAAAAAACAAAAAACAAACAAACAAACGCGACAGTTCCGCTGGACAAGTTTTCGCGACCAACAGTCGTTTGGTCACGAACAGTTTTGCGGCAATCAACGCGTTCAGACCAACCAGAACGTATGTATTAAATAAAAGAAGACGCGAGATTTTCCGCGATAAATTTCAAGCAAAGCGCAATTTTGCTCATTTTCCAGGCAGTGATTCCGTGATCTTCTCTCGCTTATGCGATTGTTATAACGCAATGTAATTACTGCGCGCAAAATTTACATTTTCGAAACGCCAAAAGTCACGGAACGTGTGTATTCGTGTATCAATCGGACAAGATCTCGGATGAGAGCTCGCGACGTGTAATTCCGCTAGTCGCGCTTCTGATACTTGTTCGTGATTCGCCATTCTCGTTTGGCAAGTTCGTTTCGTGTCTTCTTTGCGTATCCCCTGTTAAATTTCAGCCCGGAATGTAAGAGCTGAGATAAAACAGTGAATGTTATATAGCCTTGAGCTGAATAACGAGCACGACAGACGTTAAGCAAATCGTAAAAAAGAAGAAAAAATTAAAAAATCATCCATCCCGATTTTGTACAATGCGTTTTATTTGTTGAATCATCTCAGCGATGCGTGTGGCCAATTTCTTGTTTGAAAGATCGAACATAAGGGGAATGGCGGCCGCACATTACAGCCGAAATGTTCGACGAGTTTTAGTTGATTTTAAAGCTTTCTGCTTTATTCATATACCACATACATACATATATATATATATATATATATATATATATATATATAACTATTGCAAATAGCTGTTTTTTTAATTCACATGTTGTTAAATGTTAACTGCTTTGTGTGAGACGTGCAGCTGTGAGTCGGCGTCGCAAACAAGAGAACTGCACGACGTGTTGCAATATACGCTTTGATTTTGTTGAACTTTTGCAAATAGAACGTAAAAAAATTTATTTTAATAGAGCTGTTTTGATCATATGTAAAAAAACCCTTCTTTACTTTTTCAAGCGAGATAAAATATTTTGTTTAAGAGTCACACAGCATTGTTTACTGCTCAAGAGAATAACTCCGCGAACTTTTTTTTAGTTTTTTTTATAACAAGTTAGTTCATACAATTGAAGCAAATCTTCTTATGACAATTAATGTGACAATTAGTTTTTACACATTATTTGTAGTAAAAATATTTTTCGCGCCGTGTTGACGACTGTTATTTAGTGGTTTGTTTTCCGAATAATTAAAATCTCTTGCGCAAAAACAAGTGCATCCGTACAACGTAATCACAAAATCGGCGGATGTGTCAGCCGGTTCAATAAACCAACTCTTGAAAAACTGGTTATTCCAGCTCGCAGCAAATTAATTTACAAATAAAAGCACCGAAAACCTGTCTCTTCGATATGCAGTCTCATTCTTTTCTAGTTGTTTCTTTTCTTTGACAACTCTCTTTTGCCTCGCGCAAGACACATTTCGAGCAACAATTTCATACGTAGGTCAATTGGATATACTACCGTAGACTTTAATGACTCGTTTTTGTAAATGAATTTGCTTTTTCGTAACAAGCATGCTGCGTCAGATTTATCGCCATCGCGCTGGCTCAATTTGTAACAGTGGAATTAATTCGCAAGTCAACAGCGTTTTTTTTGCCATTGACACAAAGTCTCACTTAAAAATTTGTTTTACGACTATTCTTCTCTCTTTATTGTTTTATTAGTACATATATATATGTATATATATATATTTATATATATGTACTAATATATAGGTGATACGAAATATTATTTCTCTCGATGTGAAGCTACATCTCTTTTTCCTGTTTTAATTAACGGTTTTAATTAACGTAGTTATATTTAATTCAGTAATCTATATTTACGTGGCTGAAAGTTCTTTAGATGTTTCTCGATTACATAAAAAAATAAAAAAAAAAACTGCATTATTCCGTCGTCTGCATCGCGAGGAAAAGAATTTCTCACGGATGCTACACTAGAGGGCTCGTTAAATCAATTGGAACTTTTTGCAAGTGACTGCAATATACATCTTTATTCAAATAACTATAATATAACTCCGCTCGCGTCAGATGTCTAATATAAAGATAAGAATATGAAGACACAATTCAGCGCGATGTCACCTTATTGAATGGCAGAGCACAATGACGACATCCTATAATTTTCGACATCCTGGTGGTGTTTTATTATCAAAATTCACGTGTTTTTAGCTCAAAACAGTTTTGACGTCGGTACACATTAGGTTACGGAAGTGCAATTTTTGTACGAACTAGCAACGAACTAATATAGATAAGTCGAATTAAGCAAAACGTACAGAGTGACTTAAATCCTATATTATTGAAACAAAATTCTTAAACATGCTACAAATCGTTTGTTTAGATGCTCAATTACTTTAAAAATTACAGCGCGGTGTTGTCAAAACGCTTGAGCAAGAAAAGGTGTCTGTTATCTTTGAAAGAAAAAAAACGTCTGTATATTAGAACCTTTTTACAATAGTTTTGAGAATATTACTTGTAGAGAATGCGCCTGAACATGTTTTGATCTGAACTTTGGATCCAATACAATATACAAGACTTGTTGCACTTGTGGAAGCCAGAATCGCAAAGTTTCCGAGTAGTAATCACACTGCAAACAGTCACAGACTGTATGCAAGTATACGCTCGCGTGCGTTACGCTCGCGTGTAAAACACATGTTGCAGGTGCGTTCGCGTATACTTCCATACTCGGAACACGATAACTCAGGATAATTGTGTACATCTATATCGCGTTTGTAGCATGTTTGCGCGTTTTACCGTTATCCACGTCAATTATCTGGTCTACATATTATTATTATTATTATTATTATTATTATTATTATTATTATTATTATTATTATTATCATCATTATTATCATTGTCATTATTATTATTATTATATCTAATATGCACCTTCTGTTAAAAAACGGAAGTCGTCGAAAATTTTTCGACGAGCCTTCCAACACCTAAGCTCATCATGATGTTTCGAGAGACACGTTATCTCATTTAATTATGAAAGAAACACCGATGGAAATCATGAATTCCTTTCTGTGAGTATAGTTTCGATCACACAAATCGTCTAACTTGTATCAATTAAGTTAATGGTGTAATTAAATGAAGTAGTTCTCTAAACTAAATGCACGTTTTTTTGTTTAATATTTTGAACATTAATGGCCGCACATCTTGCCGGGGAAATAGGTGAAGGGACATTTTTCTATATTCGTCCGTTAAAAGACACTTTTAAGATTTTAGCGCGACTTGACGCAATTTTTCACAAACGAGTGAAAATTAAAAAAGAGTGCTGCAAATGGTGCTCGTGTAGCGCATTCGTTTAGTCTTGCGAATTTTACATACGTCGCCATATTTTTTTAAGTAGTAACTCTTAATCTAATCTTAATGTACTCTATTCTCTATAAATGTATTTGTGTATGTGTGTGTACATGTGTGTTAGACACACATTCTCTCACGTAGATAGAAACATTTGCGTTGCGCGGATAAATCCGCGCTCGTTCGAGTCTACGAGCAAGTAATGAGGAGATTTAGATTATATTACCGGTGTCAGCGATAACGATTAATTTTAGCTTTTACAATAATTATTCTGTTTATTATATATATATATAAGGAGATAGATACCGTCTATGGTATCTTTCCTATGGTTTTTTTTAAGTTAAGTGCATATTGAGAGACTTATTCGCGACTTGTTTTTCGCTTAAAGTCAGCTCTCTAAAAAAAAAAGTAATTTTTAATTGTTGTTTCTTTTTTTTTTGTAATTGGTTGTTTGTTTTGCGCAGTCGAGACAAGTAATACGGAGTATAATGTGTTTGACATATATATTCTAATAGAAATATTAATGCAAGAAAAAAACTTTACTTTATTTCGTTGTAACGTGCCTTTTTTCCAGAATAGAGAAAATGTGTGAGTGAATGAGCAAACAAATGAGAGTGGGTGTATCAATAAGTGAACGAACGAACAAAAGAAAAAGAAAAAAAGATTACTGCAAAAAAAATGTGGAATCGATCATTTATTGCCGTTTGCGAAGACTTCTTTAAGTGGTTTATGTTACATTTTTTAAGTCGTTGAAAAAGTCGCGACTGATACCGCGTTCTCTAGTAATCTACATGAAAATGCTTCATCAAACAGTTGTATCTTAACAATATGTAACTGTGTTTTGAGCGATTGTGAAGTTATTGGAAAGAATTTTTCTGAATAAGATTGCAATCGCTCAATGTTTCGTTTAAAACAGGTCTACTCGATTTGCAAAAAGATATTTGACTAATGTTTGAAATGTCAACATATTTGAAACGCTTGTTTTAATCATGCTGTCGAGAGAAACACATCGCTCGGAGAGCAATTCCCTTGAGTAGACTTGGGTATTCAGGATCTAATAGCACATAAGATGAATGTAACAACTGATCTTTGTCGAACTGCTTCGAGAGCTGAACTAAATATTTTGCAGTTATTTTTACACGAAAAACTCTCAATCGAAACATATATATACATGTTAAGGTTATGCGAAACTCAGATGATTACGCAATGCGGATGGTTTTAGTTGAGCGAATCTTGTAATCAGATCGACATGAGATCGGTAGACTCCTATTATTTAATTGTGCGATCCGTGTGTTTTAAAAAACTTTGACTATTATGATTATTTATTCAACACCCGACAGAGAATGACAGAGCGAACGCGGTGGTGAAACAACGATCTTGTGAAGAGATAGAAAATAGCATTATTATATGATGGGAAGAAGAACAGCTTTGCATATACATATTGTTATTCATGGATTCAATGTACTTGACATATTTTTAAGTGTTAAGCTATATTACATACAAATAAAACAGTACTGCTAATCAATCTTAAACGATCCTGCAGATTTCCTTTCTCATGTTTCCTCTTCTGAAATTCAAAATGTTTATAAGTGTTGTCTTCCTGATGTTTTTAATGAAAAATTTGCATCCCAATGAAACTTGACAAAATATATATTTATAAAGTTTCACATTTAATGACTCATTATATCTTTTTTTTTTTATCGAAAACATTTATATTCATTAACAGTAGAAGAAAATAAAAGCAACAGCTCTACATCGAATTAAGGTAAGTGTTTTTTGTAGTAAGTTTGTTTTCTATTTTTTTGTATATTGTCGATAAGACACAAAAAGTGAATCGTATGAGTTTGTTCGATATCGAGTATAAGAATCGTTAAAAATTGCACGTGAGAATTTGTTTCACGAGAGTATCGGCAAGTTCACTCGCACGGCGGTGACCTTTGTGATGTAAACCCTTGCGTGAGAAGAAAGATAATATTTTAGATATTATCGTAGAAGATATTTTTTTATTTTCAAGCGAGAGAATCTCAAGTTTCTAATCTTGTCAAAAAAAATGGAAAACGAGCGTTACGCAGACAATAAATGATTATTAAGATCGTTAGATTCTCTCTCTTTATGTGAAAGGTGCATAATGTCGCGTACACTGAAGTTGTCGGTAAACGTCAATGATTTAATTCGTCGCCTTGGGCAACCGACTGTGGTACCTGCTTGGTTAGCACGTCATCATCTTTAAAGTTCACGAGAAACAGGGTATACAGTCTGCTACACAACGATGGAAGAAAGAAGAGAAAAAGAGAAAGAGAAAAAGAGATCCTGGCGTTTTCTGCGGGTAGTCTCTAAAGCGAGTCAATATCACAAAGCCGGTACGCAAACGTCTGCAGTCGATGGCCTTGACTGGACATTACTTGCTTTACAATTTGCATATGCAAGAAAGTAGCTAAATTGCACCAAACTCTTCGTTTATGTCGAGTATTCAAAAATTAATTGCCAATCGTCGTAATAATTACTTGGTAATTTCGGTAAACATTATGTAACTGACATGTGTTCAAGTTTTATCAAGAATTTAAATACCGATAATTATTGAAGATTAATTTTTTTTTTAACTAATAAGTAAAACAATTTTTTTCAAATAATTGTACATAAAGATTATTTTTGTTTGTAGTTGGTTCAAATCGCGAAAACCATTTCAACGCACTCGATATTCTATGTTATGAAATGCAGTCGATACTACGTGATTTATATAAGACTGCACAAACAGCAAACGTTTGTATTTATGAATGTTTATCGCTTCCGGGTTGTACATTAATGTTGACTGTTTTTGTTTGAAAATATTAACATTGGTAAAAAGATTACACAAATAATCGTGATAAATCCACGCATGCAATGCTAGCCACGGTTATTTCGTTCGCCACACAGTGATTTTCTAAATTGTAATGCGGCGACTATTCCGTAACGGATTTATTAGACGCTCTACTGCGCTAAGGCGAAGCGAAATAGTATGTGATCACGGTTCACTATGCAAATGCATGTCGGCTACCGACGTACAATGACGTGGCATGACAGTAAATCTCTAAGTTATCGTTCGTATTAGCATACTGCTGTTTTTATCAAGAAATTGTGCAAATCGTTTGATAAAACGCATGTCGAACGTGCACACATTAACGTATCTACATTGTGCGTCTACATTGTGCGTTTCTCCCGTTTAAAAATAATTCACGTCTCGCAAACGGAAATAGAAAAACATTTTAGTGCTGCTAATTTACGTGTATTAACGCGATCGCCAAATAGATAATATAAAACGGAAGTCGTAGTCACGAGAAACTCTCTTTTTCTCTCTCTCTCTCTCTCTCTCTCTCTCTCTCTCTCTCTGTGCGTTTCTTTTCGGAAAACACAAGCATCACATATCGTTGCGTGTGTTGTGATTTTCTCTTTGAGAAAATATTCTTTATGAAGAAGAAAAAATGTCTTTTTTTACTATTTAATCACACTGTTGGCGATGCAACACGCGATGATAAAAAAATTAAAAAGAAACATTTCTGTAAATAAGAAACATCTCTGTTCTCCATTCGCAAATCCGTTTCTGAAGTCTTTCGTGCATTGGTATATTCGTCGATTTATCGTGTTTCTCGCGTGCACACGAAATATTGCTTTGGCATTTCGTTGCTTATAAATCTCTCTTAGTGATGTTAAAAAAAAAAAATAAAAATACACGAATATTGTACTTCTCTCTTTTTACCTTTACTTTGGCATCATTTTTCTTCGTCAATCTCGTATTTTTTTCTTTGGGCTATCGCATCCTTCCTTCATGCATCGTTCTTTCTCCCTTTCATTCGATCTTTTAGTCTCTCATTTTCTCTTTCCCGATCTTTGCCTGTCTCTGTAACCGCTTTATTCCCCCACCACGATTCTACGGAGCTGTTCTCCTTCTTGCTCTCCCGTTCCCTCACATTCCCCTATCCGTATTTAGTTACTCATAAACGACCGGCATGCAACTCTTCGGGTGTACACACGTACCGCAACGAACCGCGTGTTTCTGCCGACGTGGTCGTGTTACTTTCTCGCTTTATGCGCGCACGTGCATTCGTGTAGAGGGTTTACGCATGCATGCGTGCATACACGCATATACGCTGAGCGCACTACCATAACTTTTTAACTAATAACATTTTCCTTCGCGCGCATTCTTTCGTCTTTCCGTTTGTAAGCGCGCATGATAGACAGTTTGGCACATTGTGGAAGACTCGTATTAAAATATGTCTTATTACCTCGCTAATAAAAACTCTGGACGACATTAACATTCAGAATACATGATATTCCTTCGCTTTCTCTTGCAGGTGAATTAAAACCGAACAATTTTTGAAGAACTGCAGTATGCAAATAAGTGCGTGACTACAAGATCTTTCTTACTCATCGTGTTTATCATATATGTGCATGCATATGCGATACATACACACACATTATATCATATATACAGGGTGTCCGACAATTACTTTAACATCTCTCGTAGGCAGGTAGAAGGAGTAAAACTGAGTCGAAAAGTCCTGAATCATTTTTTTCTATTACATATAATAAAAGAGTAATTATTGAATAAATCAAGCCAATCAGCGCTGATCTTTAGCCGAAAGCACGTCAGTGAACCACAAGTCTGGTGTGCGTGAGCGCTCCGCGCGGCTCACTGACGTGGCCCGGCTAAAGGTCGGTGCTGATTGGCTTGATTTATTCAATAATTACTCTTTTATTATATGCAATAGAAAAAAATGGTTCAGGACTTTTCGACTCAGTTTTACTCCTTCTACCTGCCTACGAGAGATGTTAAAGTAATTGTCGGACACCCTGTATATACATATATATGTATACGTAAATAATACATGTTCAAATATGCAAAACGTATTTATCAAATAGTTCTTAATGCAAATTGTAGTTTTTCAAGGTGGTTTAGTTGAATATTTTAAGATCATTAGAACATTCTAAGCAATCGATCAAATACGCAACGTATCTTCGACTCTCTCTATACAGAACAATATATACCATTATTACAGCTTTCCGCGATATTGTAAAATATCCTTTTTCTCAGCACCTGCTGCTTATTAATTGCTCTTTAACGCCTGTTGATGTTATATAACGTTGTGTTTTAAGAGAAGAGAAACCGTATTATTATATATCGCTGCTTTTCTCGGATGTTTCTTTTATAATTGATATTTGTTCACATTAACATTTTTGATTCAAAACATTTGTGAAGACATCTTAATAGAGTGTGTAAAAAAATATATATATTACATACACAATCATTTACTCATTTTTGTGTATATATACGAGATACATACGTGCACTTTATCGCTATATAACAGCAAATATGTCGGTGACCAGGTTGGGTAGAGTCTAAAGTTGATCTTAGAGTATTCGTTAGTTGGCATACAGCCTTTTGGCACGCGTTTGTCTAGTTTCTATACTTAATTGTCGCAATTATATCATTTATATCTTTGTATTATTTTTAGCAATGTTCTTGGATATGCTGAAGAATGTATAGCAGCGCCAGATCAGTTAGGTAATTTTCAATTACGCTTCAAGTACACTGTTTTTGCACATGAAAGAGATGTTCTTGTTCTTTCTTGTTTGTGTGAATGTGTATTTGAAAATAAATTACATTTTATATACAGAAAACAAAAATATAAGAATTATTTGATATATCAACAATAATCTTGACAATAACACATTTTTATATTTTATTTTTTAGCGTGTTTATTATTATTATTATTTTTAAAAGTAATTTTTGCGCGCCAGTCTATTGTATTTTGTATTATATTTTGCATCTATTATATTTTGTATTATATTTTGCAAAATGTGTGTTTTTTTTAGTGAAATATTTTGTTGATATTAAATTATCTTAACGATTCGTTCGTTCTTTATATGTGCACACTTTATACATTTTTTTCCGATAATGTTGACATAAACACATATCATTCGAAGACTACTTTCATTTTACTTTCTATTTCTTTTTTTTTACGTACAGATCGAGCGTGTTTCGTTTCGACCAATTTACGGCAGAAAAAGCAGAAGAAATAATAAGAACGATTTGTTTGGAGAAAAGGTTTCTGCGTTTATCCTTGAATGTGTTTGAAGAGTTTTTCATCATCAGATACAATTTGTCTGGAATGCATCTTAAAGAACAATCGGAAATGCGTGTCTTAGCTAATCGTATATTTCTCTGCATCTGAGAAAGAGGATACAGTGTTTACATATTTTAGTATAAATTACAAGTAACATACCGTTTAATCACAGATTTCGTGTAGTAGATAGGCAATGAGTAGCAGTTTGTAGGCCTGCAAGGTAGACTGAAAAAAACCGGTTTTACTTAATGACGGACTACCTTCTTTGCAGCCACAAGCCGGACCGATTTTAACGTAGTTTTTTGGTTTCAATAATACTGCGGCAGAATTATGATCTATTTTCGCAGAAAATGGCCACTGCGCGTTTTATTTACGGCAAGTTCGGTAAAATTATATGTATATTCAATTCTACAACATGTGTCAATCTGTGAAACTAAATTACTTTAATAGACTACTCTTTTTGAAGAAAAAGATTTTCGTGTTTGTATTTTTATATACAGTGTATCATTTTAACTGGTAGATGCAGAGAAAGTTAATACGAGTAAACAGAGTGTTAAGTTGATCTAATTATTTGTCACATCTGTATGTGTATTCTATATTCACTGTTATATTTTCAATTATGATAAAAAAACGAACAAAACTTTGCGTTTTTTAAACAATATGTACATATATACAGGGTATCCGACAATTACTTTAACATCTCTCGTAGGCAGGTAGAAGGAGTAAAACTGAGTCGAAAAGTTCTGAACCATTTTTTTCTATTACATATAATAAAGGAGTAATTATTGAATAAATCAGCGCCGATCTTTAATCGGGCGCACGTCAGTGAATATATATATATATATATATATACATATGTGTAAATTTGAACAGACTTATATTATTTAGAAAACAATAAGAAGTAAATATCTTTCTGTTAAAAACTTTATGTGGCAAATTACATCGTATGTAGTTCTAATTTTACAAATTAGAACTACATATGCTAATTTTACAAATTTACTTTATTAAAGTTAGTTTGGATTTTATTGCAAAAAAAGACATTAGCGCACTCTGTGTTGTTTCAAGCTGTTTACCAGAGATAACTTGCAATAGCAAGTGCATATTGCACATTTCAAACAGTCGATATATCGAACGAATTGTCGATATTGCAGCGTCATATTTTCGCGGAGAAAATATATATTACATACTCTTGCTGCATTCTTGAACAAATATTATACGATAAAATCTAGATGTAAAAATAAAGCAATTAGAAATGTAATTTAGGTATTTATTTTTATTATTGTTATTCAGTTTTCGACTATATTGCTGAATGTTGCAGGAATGAAATTTAAACAGCAAATTATTTATCAATACTTATTACATGGAAATTTAAGATATATAAAAAAAAACAACGATAATTTACAGTTTACTGCAGATAATGTGATTTAATTAAGTATGTAATTAAAAAACAATATTTATCGTGTAATGTTTACCAGCAGAGAGAGAGAAGTCTCCCTCACTCTGTCTTATACAGTTGTTATCCGTTGATTAGTCGGGATCTCCGTTTACCGACCAGGGGCGATGGGACAAGTGGTTACCCGTTGGTTATAGTCGGGATCTCTGTTTACGGACCAAAAGCAATGGGACAAGCGGTTTCGTTCACCGTGCTGCAGGATCGCTGCGTTAATCTAAAACTATATAGCACAACCGATCACTTCAGCCCGTCTTGAATACTCGTCGATCCTTCGGAGGGTTGTTTCTATACCCCTGTTTTCCTTCCGAGACGAAGACTCCGTGAGGGGCCGAGGAGGAAACTCGAAGGACCCGAGAGGAGCCCACGACGAAGATACGTGGCACTCGGGCGTGAAAACGAGTTCACTGGTTATATATTTCTCGGTTCGCCGGGGCGTTAAAGTGTTGAAATTTCATTAAGGGTCTAATGAAGCGCGCCGGATAAGGTCTCTCCTGCCTCGCGCGCGGGCTGTTTGTTCGTAGGGTGGATGGCCCTTCGAGATGCGTAAGCGAATTTACATGCTTCAGGGTGGCTCTCTCGGTTACTCCGTCTCTCGGAAGATCGGAGCGACGGCTCGAGCTTTTCAGCCAGAACGTCCTTTCGCGTTTCAGAGAGGGACACTCCCTGTTTGTGTGCGTTTCATTAGCTTTTCGTCATTAGCATTTTCTCTGAGCAACGATCTAAGATAAGATCTCACGCGGATATTCTCGAAGTGCAACAAGACGCGCAAGGATTACTCGCGGAGGCGATCGTTCACATTATTATCGATTTAATCGATGGAAAGACAAAATTATCTTTATAAGTACGCGCGGTTTGCGATAAATCTTGTATAGAAATTTCAGTCATAAATAACTTTAGAAGAAAGGAACGTCGTTTTAGACACAAAATGTAATATAAAAATATATTTTGGGATATATTTCCTCTCTCCAGAGCTCTCTCCAGAGATGACTTCTCTGGTAAGAACGAGGTGTACGCTTCAGAAAAATGCACCTCCGATCTCTGTAATGCACATTGTTTTTTTATCGAGAAAAAATCTTTATTCGACGACATATACGTTACAGTACTTTTATTGGAAACGTCTATAGAGCGCGCGAGATTTAGGTGGATGCAACTCGAACAGAGCGCGTACCTCGATACGGGTCGGCTTCCGTTCTAATTGCCCTTTCAAAACTTTTTGCATTGAAATTTCACACACGTGTAACTATCAAAAGCTGTGTCGGCGTGCAACTGCGAGGAATAGTACGCGAGATTGCCTCGGAGGGTTGCTAAGTCGAGGAGACTGCCTCTGCAGGTACTCCCGTCTTCGGGTCAACCAAATGGATCAAAGTAGAACTTTGTTACTCTCTTGTCTTTTATCGATGGATCGTATATATACCGCCCTTGAGGTGTATAAATACGTCTCACAACACAAATAGTAATTTGTATGGAATGTAAAATTCAGAGATTGTGAACGTTCTAATTTTTTTTTTTTTTTTAACAGAATCTGTGCATATTGTTGCATAAACTGATATTAACAAATTGTGGAGGAACTCTCGTCCGTGTGGAGGGAGGGCGAATAAAGGTTGCTAGACACATGTACCGCATGATTTATTTTTTTTTTTTATTAAGTTTATTTTATATATCGACAACAACACGTCATACATTAGAAAACAGAAGGTTTCTTGAAGCAAACTCGAATGAAAAGTTTTGTGGAACAATCCGAGAGACACTATGTGAGTGTGCCGCGCCATCATCTATGGAGTCGTATATATATAATATTGCGTGTCTTTGTGTCTCACATATATGTTGTGTATGTACGTGTCTGTATGTATATTTCCATGTGTTTGCGCGTATGTGGTCCATGTGTATGTGTCTCGGTGTACTACGATACTCTTGTGTCTTCTCTCTTGTTTTCTCACTCGCATTTTTCCACTCTCGCGTTCTTTCACTCCTTTCTCTCATTCATCGTCTTTTTACTCTTGCCCTTTCACGCTTCTCTCGCGCCCTGTAGCATCTATGCGCGTACACGTTCTTTCCCGCCCGCCTTTCTCTCCCTCTTTATCTTGCTTTCTGACATCTCACGTGCGCTCTTCTCTTTCTCTCTTTCTCTCTCTCTCTCTCTCTCTCTCTCTCTCTCTCTCTCTCGATGTACCAATATCCGATTCTTATATTTATACGAAATTGTACTCGATTCCAAGGAAGGAAACCGCGCGAAATCAAACAAGGATTGCGAATGTTCCTCGTTTGATTTCGCATCTTGAGTTGGCAATCGATAGTTTCCATCCTCTTTGCGTCCCCTCGCGTGCACGTATTATCTACGTATTTCTATTGTCATTCTTTTCTTTCGTCTCTTATGCCAAACTTTTCTCTTCTTGCCGATCTTTCTTTTTCTCTTTCTTTCTCTCTCTCTTTCTCTCTCTCTCTCTCTCTCTCTCTCTCACACACTTTCTTTCTTTCTCATTACTATACATTCACTCCTACTGTTTTATCTGTGGTGAATCGTCTCCGAAAATTATTTATGATTATTTCTTGTAGTATCAGTAGTAAAAAAGAAAAAATTACTTTAACGCGCCCAGAGAAAAGATGCCGGTTGTTCAAAGAACCAAAGAAAACGAAGAAAACTAAATAAGATATTTCGTTATCGGTCGCGAGGGGTGCAAACTTAAATTGGGATTTGAAACGAAAGAAATTCGCACGAGGCGCCCTCCGCGTTTCATCTAGCCGCGCGCGGAATTTCGCACGATTTCCGTTCTGCCATTTTTGCTGCCTCTATCTATTTTATCTATCTATATATAATATAATATATTTATATTTATATATATATATTATTTTTTTGTTTCTTTGCTTCAAAAAGCGGCAGTGCATCGTCGTCGAATTCACTCTCGGGCTTTGAGAAGGGAGGGCGATCGTTCTCTCTTTCTCTCTCTCTCTTTCTCTCTCTCTTTCTCTCTCTCTCTCTTTCTCTCTTTCTCTCTCTCTCTCTCTCTCTTTCTCTCTCTCTCTCTCTCTTTCACACGCACTCTTGTTTCTTTTATTCTCATTCTTTCTCTCTGTTCGTCTCTCTTTCTTTTATTCATTCTATCATTCTTTCTCACAGTTTAATATTCACCTAAGTTCGATTCGCGACGAAATAGTCTTGAACCGCCTTCTCTTCATTTTATGGCCGCGAAATATATCTAGGAACGTCCGGGATACGACTGACGGCCTTACCGCCGCGACGAGATGTGAATTTTGACTCCCGTGCCGAAAGAAGCATCATTTTTTAGCCAAAAGATATACAAGGAAAACTGGCCGCGCAGCGCGTACCAGCGATGCAGACCCACCGCGCCTCCTCTTGCAATAATTTATGTACAATTTTACAACCTACGACGCGCCGCCGACGATATAATTTTTTTTATTCTTCTTATAGTTCACCTTTAAGTACACGAATAGGACCTAGACATCGTTAATTTTTTCATCTTTACACTATACTAACGAAATCTAAACATGTTCAATTTTCATTTTCACACTAGGAATAATAAATTTTGCCGTATCGTTAGTATACCTTTATAGAAATATGCTTACAAAAATAGAATTTCGTGAGGCGCGAAAAGTGCGTCGCTGCCGGATGCGGGCGAGCTTATAGGAAGTATTCTTTTTCATCTTCACTTTGATTCGGAAAATAGCCTTGTGCTATTCCTCTTAGTCCTAACTTTTTATATCTTTATCGCTCGGCGACCGAAATACGCGAGAGTGTGTAATTTCCCCCTTTTTTTCTTTGTGCATATATCTCTCGCGCCGCGTCAGACCGTCAGACGATTCTCTCCGTGCGAATAATTTAGCGTGTGAATTTTCTCCCTTATTAACTTTCGTCGCACACTCTCTTCTGACTTTTCGATCATTCACTCACTCACTTGCTCACTCACTCACTCACTCTCTCTCTCTCTTTTTTCTCTCTCTTTCTCTCTCTCTCTCTCTCTCTCTCTCTCTCTCTTTTTCTCTTTCTCTCTTAATCTTACGCACCGCACATTTCCCTCTTCTCGC